AGACAGTAGCCACACTTTCTTTCGTTTTACCCATTTGGTTGGACACTAGAGAGGCATTGACACAGGTGACTCTGCGGGAAATTCCGGTATAATCTCTGTCTCTTATACACATCTAGATGTGTATAAGAGACAGGGACCGGAGTCTCACTCTAGGGATCCGGAGCGATCGCAGACGCTCCGGATCCCTAGAGAAAGGGGGTCGAGCAGGCAGCGTGTGTGCGGGATGCTTGAGAATGTCTTCCCTGAGTCGGCTGCAGCCGCACAGGCTTTAACTTCTTCCTCCCCGTGTTGGGGCTGTGGTGGATCTGACTTGACATCTCCCACCCCACTTCCCATTTTATTGGCATCGCACTGTCTGGAAAGAGGGCCGGCTGTGCAGCGTGAAGAGTAGGGAAAGGGGATTTCTTGAACTTTGCAACGTGCAAGACAGGAGGCCCCCACCCTTGCTGGGAACGGTGCAGGAAGGGGAAGTTTTTACTTTTCCCAACTTGCCATCTCCACCTCCAACCACACCTCCACGACCAAAGTACAAATAAAAATGAAAATTAAGCCCACTGTGGTTATTTCAGCAGTCCCCCCACCCTGTGTGCCACTCGCCAGCGGCGTGACCATGGGCAAGTCACTTCACTTCTCTGAGCCTTGGTGTCCGCAGCTGCAAAATGTGGGGAGGCGGTGGCGGTGATAATTACGTAATTTACAAGGTGCAAGTGTCAAGATTCAAGGATAAAGTGGGTGCGCCCCCAGAGTCTGCGAGTTCCCTTCTACAACTGCCCCTCCCCAAGGATTCCTCGCCTAAAATTGCACTCCCTGTCTCTCTATCTCGGCGCCACTCTCCTCTGCCCCGTGTTGGTCCCAGTCTGTGTCTCTCCTGTGTGACTGACGCTGTCTCTCCATCACAGTCTCTCTCGCTGTGTCTCTGCCACTGTCTCTGCATGTCTGTCACTCTGATCATTGCTGTCTCTCGCTCTATCTTTTGTCTCTGTCCCTCTCACTGTCTCTAGGTCTGTCGATGTCTCTGTCTCTCCCTCGTGTCTCACCCTGTCTCTGGTCTCTATGTCTCTTGCTCTCCATCCCTCCCGCGTGTTTCACTCCTATCTCTGTGCGATCTCTCTCTCTTTCTCTGTTCCCCAGGCTCTCCGTCTTCTCCCCGTCCCTCTTCCCTCCTGTCCACGCACGCACACACAGGCCATAAAAGGAAGTCGAGGCGGTGGGCTGGCCCCACGCCAGGCCGGGGACCCGCGGGCAGCTCGGGCTCTCCGCTCCCCGCGCGGCACCGGCTTCTCCGAGGTTCCCGGGCCGGGCCGAGCCGGTCCCCCTCCCCGGGCGCGGCGGGAGCTGCGGGCGGGAGACAACCCAAAAAGGGCAGGCGCGGACTCCTTCCTGCAGGAATTCCCAGCTCCGCATACCAGCTCGGGGCTGCCCGCTCCCCCTGACTAAATATGGTGCCGAGAGGCCTCCCTGCTCCCCGGCGTCGGGGGAGGGGGCCCTTCACGCAGCCACGGGCGGCAGTCGCCCCGCTGGGCGCGAAGGGGACCCCTCTGCTTGGGGCAGGCCCGGAAGGGGGCAGCCCCCAGTCCCACGTGGATTTCTGCTGCTTCAGGCCAGAGGATTTGGAGAAGGGGTTAAAGTTGGGCAGACCCCTCCTGGATTTTGTACTTGGCGCAGGCCCTTATTCTACAATCCCTCCTCCTGCAACCAGGTGGAGGGGCTGAGGGCGAGGGGCGTGCGGGCGGGGTGGGGGGGGGTGGCTTCATTAATACCCCCATTTTGCAGGAGAGAAAATTGAGTCCCCGCAGGGGTAAAGGGATTTGCCCAAGCTCTCACTGGGACAGTCATGGATTGGTGCTGGCACTGGAACCTTTCTGATGACGACATTCACTTCCAGAAAGGAGACATTGAAGGGAAGTGTCCAGGCAAACTGGACTTGAGGCCCAGGGCATGTCTTTGAGAATGGATGTCTGGCTTTGAATCTGCCAGTGCTGCTTTCTACCTATTTGACCGTAGGCAAGTAACTTTGCCTCTCCATGCCTCAGTTTCCCTACCTGTACGATGGGAAGAACATCAGCTACTTCCTGGCCTTTTTGTAAGCAGTCCTTGAGATGATCCATGTAAAATGAACACTGTGCACTGCTTCATGTTAGCTGCTGTTATTGGTAACAAACGTGAAACCAACTAGAGTTGCACCAGGCCTCGGGATACAAGGAGAACACTCTTTCCCTGCAGGCTCCCAGGTCCCTCTGGAGAGCTCTGCATCTCAGACCCTCTTGGGTCCTTCTTCATCCTTCCAGCATCAAGCTCACCTGGTTTTCACCCTGGAAACTCCTGAGCCTGGCCCTTGCCCTGCAAGGGGCCTGAATCAGAGAGTCAAGAACAGCCTGCATTCAGCTGGCTGGGAAAGTGAGGGGTAAAGCTCTAGGGAAAATGATGAATGAGCTGCTCCCCACATGCTTTTAACATCTACGCTGTAAAAGGAGTGGAAATCGTCCCTGCATCAGCCCAGAAATGATATAGAGCAGAGAAGTAATGGAAGGGGGAAAATTGAAGTCAACCATCCCCTTCCCATCCTGGAAAGAGAATGCAGGGCAGGCCATCGGAATCTAACTTGCTGGCCTGAAGTAAAAAGTGGCATTAATACTAGAGGCATGAACACTGTACTTCCAAAGGGTTCCATTTGATTTTTTAAATAACTTGTTGGTATCTTTTAAAAGAGAATAATTATAATGTGATTAACAATTGGAGACTTTGTAACAAACACTCAGTTTTACTTCATTCTCTCGCCTACCCCTTATCTAACAACCCTTTATTAAAAATTAAAGTAGGCAGCCGGGAGTAGTGGCTCATGCCTGTAATCCCAGCAATTTGGGAAGCCAAAGTGGGTGAATCACTTGAAGTCAGGAGTTCAAGACCAGCCTAGCCAACATGGTGAAACCCCCATTTCTACTAAAAATACAAAAATTAGCTGGGCGTGGTGGTGCACACCTGTAGTCCCAGCTACTCGGGAGGCTGAGGTAGGATAACTGCTTGAACACAGGAGTCAAAGGTTGCAGTGAGCTGAGATTGTGCCATAGAACTCCAGCCTGGGAGCCTGGGTGACAGAGCAAGACTCCATCTCAAAAACAAACAAACAAACAAAAGTAGCCAAGGTCAGGCATGGTGGCTCACACCTGTAATCCTAGCACTTTGGGAGGCCAAGGCAGGAGGATTGCTTGAGCTCAAAAGTTTGAGACCAGCCTGGGAAACATAGTGAGACCCTGTCTTTACAAAAAATACAAAAATTAGCCATGTGTGGTGGTGGGCACCTGTAATCCCAGCTCCTTTGGAGGCTGAGGTGGGAGGATCACTTGAGCCTGGGAGGCAGAGGTTGCAGTGAGCTGAGACTGTGCCACTATACTCCAGCCCGGGTGGCAGAGTGAGACCCTGTCTTGAAAAAAAACTTTTTTTTTTTTTTTTAAGTAGCCAGCCTGGGCAACGTGGTGAGATCCTATCTCTATAAATAAATAAATAGCAGCTGGGTGTGGTGTAGCCTGCAGTTCTAGCTACTAGGGAGGCTGAGGTAGGAGGATCTCTTGAACCTGGAAGGTTGAAACTGCAGTGAACTATAGTGAACTATGATTGCACCACTGCATTCTAGCCTGGGCAACAGAGCAAGACCTTGTCTGTAAAAAATAAGGTACGTACTTTAATCCCCTCCCTATCCCCATTTTACTGTGGAGAATCTAGGTTTGGAGAGGTTAAATAACCCAGCAGTGGTAGAACAGGAATTCCAACCCAAGTCTTTCTGACACAGTCCATAGTAGACAGAAGTCTGAGTTTTTTAAACCCAGATCTCTTCAGCACCAACCAAGCAGCTTTGGGATTGTCAGTAAACCTCTTTGAGCCCATTTTCTCAAGGAAAAGCAAAGATGATCAGATTCTTTGCCTCAAGTACCTTTCTGATTGTTAAATATGACAGCACTTATGAAGGCCTTTACGAACTATCTCAGACCTTTCTGGTACACTCTGGAAGCAGGCAGGGACAGTATGTCACCTAACAGTCATTCAATAGATATCTGTCCAATGCATGAAGTTCTGATGTTTGAATCTTCAAAAGTGCGTTGTTATCATTCGATCAGATGCCTCTGTTTTATTTCTCATGGCTCAAAAGGTCAGTTCTTTTAAGATGGAGGAGGCAATAGTCACTTTTTAAAATGTCACTTTGACTGAGTGCTGTCAAGTAATTTTCCTTGGCATATCTTTTTTTGTGACGGGCTGTTTAATGGGAGTTTCCATGAATTCATGAAACAAGACGGCCAAGGGGAAATTTCTCTCTTACAGTCTTTTTTTGCTGTTGGCCTAAAAAAAAGCCCCAAAGTGGCTGGGCACGCCTGTGATCCCAGCACTTTGAGAGGCTGCAGTGGAAGGATCGCTTGAGCCCAGGAGTTCGAGACCAGCTTAGGCAACATAGCAAGATCCCTGTCTCTATAAAATAAGAATAATAATAATAATTAGTTGGACACGACGGTGTGTGTCTGTAGTCCCAACTAGAGAGTGAAGTATGAGGATTGTTTGAGCCCCGGAGTTTAAGGCTGCAGTGAACTGTGATCATACCAGTGCACTCCAGCCTGGGCAACAGAGCAAGACCCTGTCTCAACAAAACAAAACAAAACAAAACAAAACAAAACCATGAAGTATGATCCCCTCCAATTTTTAAGAACATTGAAGATTGAGTCTGAGTGTGTTTTACTCCTGCATGTGCCTCAAGATTTAATATTTTTTGGCCGGGCACAGTGGCTTACACCTGTAATCCCAGCAGTTTGGGAGGCCATGGTGGGTGCAACACTTGAGGTCAGGTGTTCGAGACCAGCCTGGCCAACATG